CTTAAGAAAGGTTTTAGTCTCTTGAATCCCTACCTTGTCATTCCCGGAGATGATAATATCATCTACATAAACGAGAATGACTACTATACCTTCCTTGCTTGGGATAGTGAAGAGGGTGTTGTCGGCTTCCGACTTCTTGAATCCTCTTTCCAGCAAGGTTGTGCTAAGCTTGTGATACCAAGCTCTCGGGGATTGCTTCAAACCATAGATAGCTTTCTTGAGTTTAAAGACCTTCCCGGGTGCATTATGATCTTCAAGACCCGGTGGTGGCTTCATGTAGACTTCTTCTTCAAGTTCTCCTTGAAGGAAGGCATTCTTAACATCCATTTGCCAAAGTTCCCACTCCAAGTTGGTAGCTAGAGAGAGAACCACTCGAACCGTATGGAGCTTTGCAACCGGGGCAAACGTATCCAAGTAATCCACCCCATACGTTTGAGTGAACCCTCTTGCAACGAGCCTAGCTTTGTAGCTTTCAATATCCCCATTGCTCTTGTACTTGATAGTGAAGACCCACTTGGATGTCACAGCTCTCTTGCCTTTAGGTAACTCTCCTTCTTCCCAAGTATGGTTATGTTCCATAGCTTGTCTTTCGGCGGCTATAGCTTCCCTCCATACTTGATGTTGGATAGTTTCTTCATAGGTTTGAGGAATCCAATGTTGGTCAATTTGTCCAAGAAAGACTTGATGTTCTTCGGGAAAATGAGCAATGGTACACACGGCTTGAATAGGATGAGCCACGGCTTGACTATTGTAGTAAACCCGAGTGTTCTTCCAATTTGATGGAGGAAACTTCTGTCTTTGACTTCTTCTTAGGGCTATAGGCGCTTTTTGGGATGTAGGGCCTTCATTAGGCGCTTCTTGCGAAGTAGAGCCTTCATTATGATCCGATGTAGACAAATTCTCTTCTTCGGATAAAGTAGTCTCTTCCTCATGATTACTTGGAATCTCTCCCTCTTCAAGATTGTCTTCTTGAGTATTTTCTTCTTCTTGTAAATGTTCTTCTTCCTCATGTTGTGATGTTTCTTGTTGTTGAGTAGGCTCTGGATTAGGATTTGGTGAGTTGGTGTGACTTTGAGAGTTGCTTACACCAAGTCTTTCCAAGATAATTCAGAGGTTGCTAGCTCTATCCGAAGGTGAATGGGTGAGATCTTGAATGTCTTCCCAATTCTTTTCTTCATAGTAGCCTTTACCCTCAAAAAACTTCACATCTCTTGAAACAAGAACTTTCCTTGTCTCCGGTATATAGCACTTGTATCCTTTTTGTGTGATTGAGTACCCGATAAACATGCCCTTGACACTCTTAGGTTCGAGTTTGTTTCTTTGTTCACCTATAAGGACAAAACAAACACAACCAAACACACGTAAGTGATTGATGGACGGTTTATTCTTGTTAAGTACCTCAAAGGGAGAGGAATCTTGTAGGATCTTGGTTGGGGTCCGGTTGATCAAGTAGCAAGCTAGGACCACCGCATCACTCCAAAAACGTTTAGGAACATTGGTGTGGAACATCATCGATCTTGCCACTTCCATGAGATGCCTATTCTTCCTCTCCGCTACTCCGTTTTGTTGTGGTGTATAAGGGCAGCTTGTTTGATGGATTATCCCGTGCTTGGCCAAATGTTGCTTGAAGGCATGACTTGTATATTCACCACCATTATCGGACCTAAAGATTTTGATCTTGGCATTGTAATGGTTAGTGACATAGTTTTGAATGTTGATAAAAGCCTCAAGAACTCTATCTTTAGAAGGTAACAAAGTTAACCAAGTATATTTAGACTTCTCATCAATGAATGTGACATAGTATTTTTGATTTTCTCTAGATAAACAAGGTGAAGTCCAAACATCCGAATGAACCAAATCAAAACAATTCTCATAAATAGTACTAGACTTGGGAAATACGGATTTGCAATGTTTACCAAGAATACAAGCCTCACATTCATTATTCTTAAAGGAAATACTTGGTAACAAAAGACCTAAAGCACGAGAATGAGGATGACCTAATCTAGCATGCCAAATAGCATTATTCGCATTAACAAGAATTGAGCTAAAGTGAGAAGATAGAGGAGTAGAAAGCTTTGTATCTTCAAGAACATAAAGACCATCCTTTGTACCTCCATGACCAAGCACTCTACTAGTCTCAATATCCTGAAAATGAACATCATTAGGACCAAAGATAGCATAGCAATTAAGATCGGTAGTAGCTTTCTTAACGGATAGCAAGTTCGAAGTGAAAGTAGGCATATAGAAAGCTTTAGACTTTTTGCTAAACAATTCTAAGTCTCCTACTCCTTTAACCGGAATCTTATCACCATTTGCAATTATGACATTTCCTAAAGCCGGTTCAATGTTGTTCATCAATTTAGAGTCACTAATCATATGGTGAGATGCTCCCGAATCAACAATAAGAGGTTTTAAAGCACTAAGAGCATGATAAGCGTTACCGGAAGACTCTTTGAGAGCCTTGATGAGTGCATCGAGGTCGGAGCGTCTCACTAGGTCGGAAGAAGCCATCATTGCAGCTCCATTTCCTCCCAAGGCTTGACTTGATGCTCCGGCTTGCTCTTGGCCTCCAAGGTTCCCTCCGGTGGCTTGATTAGCTCTCGGCTCCCTTCTTGCTGGTTTGAGGTGAGGATGAAGGATCCAGCACTTCTCTTTGGCATGTCCACTCCGTTTGCAATGATCACACCATGGAGCTTTCCCACGGTTGGCATTGAAATTCCCACGGTTAGCGGATGCTAACTCACTTGAGTTGCCCGAGACCAGCTCTCCTTTGTTGCCAAACAGCCCGAGAGATCCTTGCTCCTTTTGGATTTGAGAACACACTTCTTCAAGGTTCTGGAGCTTGTCGGCACGGAGAAGATGCTTGATGAGATCGTTGTACGCCGGACTCAAGGTAAAGAGTAGACCAAAGACCTTGTCTTGCTCACGCCTCTCATTGATGACCGCCGGATCAAGGGTGTTGGGTCTCAACATCTCAAGCTCTGCCCAAAGGGACCGAAACTTCCCAAAGTGTTGAGTAAACTCCATGTCTCCTTGGGTCAGCTCGTTGATGGCCTTCTTGATCTCAAACACACGGCTTAGATTGGATTGGTTTCCATAGACATTTTGCAAAGTTTCCCAAAGATCCTTGGGAGTCTCACAATAGGAGTATCCTTCAAGGATTGATGCTTCAAGCGAGTTTTGGAGAACAGATAAGACCATTTGGTCTTCTTGGAACCACTTGTCTTCATCAACAAGGGCGATCTCCAAGCCATCTTCGTTCGTGGTTGTCTCTCTTGGCGCTTCACTCTTGATGATGTGAGGCCAGAATCCACGACCGCACAAGATGGTCTTCATGGTTCTTGCCCAAAGCAAGTAGTTTCCTCCTTTGAGGGTGACCGGAGCACGAATCTTGGTGTTCTCCATGGTGAGTGTAGACTTAATCGAAAAGAGAATGGAGATTGGAGAAGAAGAAGAAGATTTGCAAGTAGAATTTCGGAGAATAGAGTATGTGGAGCTTTATGGCTCTGATACCATGTTAGAATGTGGAGATTAGGTTTGCGAGAATGGGACTAAGAGTGAGAGATTAGCTGCGGAAATGAAAGAGGAAAAGATTTGATGATGATGAGAAAGAGAGAACTTTCTCTTCTTACTTGATTTGGTAATTACATAGGTTACCTTTTAAAGGCTACACAAAAGGAATATCCTACACGAATATGCTATGTACAACGGTCATAAGGACCCAAAACGCGTCATAAAGCAAACCCAAAAGCAACTCTTGTCTTCTTCCTCTTTTGAACACGCAACGGCTACAAGGAAGGCTCGGGAAGGATCCGGAGACTTCTAGAAGCTTGATGATGCTTTGGATAAAGCTTAGGAGGCTGAAGAGGATCCTCATGGGCCGAGCACAACTTCGTACGGACGGCCTCTCCTTATCTTGTACGGACAGTCTCGACTTCATGTGTACGGACAGTCTCGACTTCATGTGTACGGATGCTCTCGACTTTATGTCGAGTCTAGATAGAACACTTTCATGATCCTTCTTGACCCGAAAGACTTCTACTTCATCATTTGGTTCAATAAGCGAAGTCTTTCACTTCTTCTTAAAGGTATCACTTCTTGCGTTACTTCTTGAGTCACTTCTTGAGTAGTGTCTTCTTCCTCTTGATTCAATTTGTTGGAGCCATCACCATCGGGTATATGATCTTCTTCTTGAGTGTTGAGGTCATTTTCTTCATTTTGAGTATCTTGGACTTCTTCCTCAAGACTTTCTTCTTCTTGTTCTTGAGTCTCTTGTCCTTGTGGCGGATGTGGAGCTTGAGTTTGTGAAGGTTGGTAGTTCTCAATTCCAAGCTTCTCAAGAATAATCCGAAGGTTAGTAGCTCTATCCGATGGTGAACTAGACAAATCCTTAAGACTTTCCCAATCCTTCTGGTCATAGAATCCCTTGTCTTCCACAAACTTCACATCTCTTGACACCAATACTTTCCTTGACTCCGGTACATAACACTTGTAACCCTTTTGAGTTGTGGAATACCCTATGAACATTCCCATAGTGCTTTTGGCTTGGAGCTTGTTCCTTTGATCTCCGGGAACTAAGACATAGCAAACACAACCAAACACACGTAAGTGATCAAGAGAAGGCTTAGTCTAAGTGAGTACCTCAAATGGAGACTTGTCTTGTAGAATCTTTGTTGGTGTTCTATTGATCAAGTAACACGCAGTCATCACGGCATCACTCCAAAATCTCTTTGGAACATTGGTGTGAAACATTATGGACCTTGCAATCTCCATTAGGTGTCGATTCTTGCGTTCGGATACACCATTTTGTTGAGGAGTGTAAGGGCAACTTGTTTGGTGGATGATTCCGTGTGATGCTAGGTGCTCCTTGAATGCTTGACTTGTATACTCCCCGCCATTGTCGGATCTAAAAATCTTAATCTTGGCATTGTATTGGTTAGTCACATAAGTATGGAAGTTTTTAAAAGCTTCAAGAACACGATCCTTTGAAGGAAGGAGAGTAAGCCAAGTATACTTTGATTTTTCATCAATAAATGTGACAAAATATTTTTGGTTTTCTCTTGATAAATAAGGTGAAGTCCACACATCCGAATGAATTAAATCAAAGCAACTTTCATAAATAGTAGACGACTTAGGAAAAATAGCTTTGCAATGTTTACCAAGAATACAAGCTTCACAATCAAGACTTTGAAATGAAACTTTTGGTAGCATTAAACTTAAAGCCCGAGGATGGGGATGACCTAGTCTAGCATGCCAAATAGCACTATTCGCAACAACAATACTTGAACTAAAATGAGAAGATAAAGGTTCGGATAGCTTTGTGTCTTCTAGAACATAAAGACCATCCTTTGTAACTCCTTGACCAAGCACCCTACTTGATTCAATATCCTGAAAGTAAACATCATTAGGTCCAAATATCGCATAACAATTTAAATCGGTCGTTGCTCTTTTAACGGAAAGCAAGTTAGAAGTAAAATTTGGCATAAAAAAAGCTTTAGACTTCTTATCAAATAGCTCTAAATCACCTATTCCTTTAACCGAAATTTTATCCCCATTAGCAATTATCACGTTTCCTAAAGCCGGTTCAATATTGTTCATTAGCCTAGAATCACTAATCATGTGATGAGAGGCTCCCGAATCAACAATAAGAGGGTTTAGAGTATGAGCATGATAGGATTTACCGGATGACTCCTTAAGAGCCTTAATGAGAGCATCGAGATCAGATTTCTTCACATACTCCGAAGACGCCGTCATTGCCACTCCAACACCATTAGCTTGAGTTTAGGGTCCGGGTCCGGAGATGTCTTGAGTCTCTTGGCTCCAGTTCGCTTGATGAGCTTTAGGATCCTTCCATTTACTTGGTCGGAGATGGGGATGGAGGATCCAACACTTCTCCTTGGTATGACCCGACTTTTTGCAATGGTCACAAGTTAGGCCTCTCTTGTTCTCGGACTTGTAGCTTCCCTTGTTGGCGGTGGTGAGCTCTCCTTTGTTGGCTGTAGCAAGCTCTCCTTTGTTTCCGAAGAGACCAAGAGATCCTTGCTCCTTTTGGATTTGAGAGCACACTTCTTCTAGGTTAGGTAGCTTCTCGGCTCGGAGTAAGTGCTTGATGAGATCATTGTAGGTGGAGTTCAAGGTGAGAAGAAGACCAAAGACCTTGTCTTGTTCACGCCTTTCGTTGAGGATCGCCGGATCAATGGTGTTAGGCCTTAGCATCTCGAGCTCCGCCCAAAGGGACCTAAACTTGCCGAAATGTTGAGTGAACTCCATGTCTCCTTGAGAGAGATCGTTGATGGCCTTCTTCACTTCGAACACCCGGCTCAAGTTGGAGAGATTCCCAAACACATTAAAGAGAGTATCCCAAAGCTCTTTAGGAGTTTCACAATAGGAGTAAGCTTCGAGTATTGAGGACTCAAGCGAGTTTCGGAGGAGGACCAAGACCGATTGATCTTCTTGGAACCATATCCCCTCATCAACAAGAACGATTTCTTGTCCATCTCTTGTGGTCGTCTCCTTTGGCGGCTCTTCGTTCAAGATATGGTTCCAAAGTCCCCGACTACACAAGGCAGATCTTGTGGTTCGTGACCACAGCAAGTAGTTTCCTCCCTTGAGGATAACCGGAATGATTTTCGAGTGTAGAGAACTCATCTCATCAAAGAGAGAACTCATCGAACAAAACCAAAGAAAAGAGAGAGTTTTGGTGCGGAAGTAAAAGATGTGGGTTGAATGAAGGGTATGGAGCTTATGTCTCTGATACCATGTTAGATTATGGAGCTTTAGGTTTCGATGGGACAAGAAATCAACCGGAAAAGATGAGAGCTTTGATCGAAAAAGTAAAGCCGAGAGATTGAGAGAGTAGAGATTTGAGAGATGGGAAAGATTATTTCTCTTTCTTACTAAAAATGGCTAAGTACAAGGTTCCCTTTTAAGGGCTAGACAATCGGAATATCCTCAAGGATATGCTCTATGTACAACGGTCATAAGAGGAAAACGCGTCATAAAGGTAATAAAGCATTTCTTGTCTTCTTCTCCTTTTGCGAGAGTAACGGCTCTTATGGGAAGGATCGAGAGTCTTCTAGAACGTTGGTGTAGCTTTGGATAAGGCTAGGAGACTTATGTAGATCCCAATGGGCCGATCATGACCTTGTACGGACGGCCTCATAGTTGAATCGTACTGCCGAGTGATGATCCGTACGGACGAGTGTGAACCGTACGGACGAGAGGCACAAGACGGTTTACAATCGATCGTGCAAAACACCAAGTGACCCGGATGGATTCTTCTCTTCACTTGGTTCAATAGGCCACACCCACAAAGATTTGAGAAGCAATAAGAATCTTGGTTAGTGTTTTTGGAGTCAAATATGACTAGATCTCGCATTTATGATTGGGTATAAGATCTAGAACCGCAACCGGATCACATAAGCTAAAGTGTTTTTCCGTTTAGAAACTTCAAAACCGAAAACTCATAAGACTTTGGCCACACCCACAAAGATTTGAGAAGCAATAAGAATCTTGGTTAGTGTTTTTGGAGTCAAATATGACTAGATCTCGTGTTTATGATTGGGTATAAGAACTAGAACCGTAATTGGATCCCAAAAGATAAAGTAGTGTTTTTCCATTTAGAAGCTCCAAAACCGAAAACTCATAGGACTTTGGCCACACCCACAAATATTTTAGAAGCAATAAGAAGCTTGGTTAGTGTTTTTGGAGTCAAATATGACTAGATCTCGCGTTTATGATTGGGTATAAGATATAGAACCGCAACCGGATCTCATAAGCTAAAGTAGTGTTTTTCCGTTTAAAAGCTTCAAAACCGTAAACTCATAAGACTTTGGCCACACCCACAAAGATTTGAGAAGCAATAAGAAGCTTGGTTAGTGTTTTTGGAGTCAAATATGACTAGATCTCGCGTTTATGATTGGGTATAAGATCTAGAACCGCAACCGGATCTCATAAGCTAAAGTAGTGTTTTTCCGCTTAGAAGCTTCAAAACCGAAAACTCATAAGACTTTGGCCACACCCACAAAGATTTGAGAAGCAATAAGAATCTTGGTTAGTGTTTTTGGAGTCAAAAATGACTAGATCTCGCATTTATGATTGGGTATAAGATCTAGAACCGCAACCGGATCTCATAAGCTAAAGTGTTTTTCCTTTTAGAAGCTTCAAAACCGAAAACTCATAAGACTTTGGCCACACCCACAAAGATTTTAGAAGCAATAAGAAGCTTGGTTAGTGTTTTTGGAGTCAAATATGACTAAATCTCTCGTTGATTATTGGGTATAAGATATAGAACCGTAACCGGATCTCATAAGCTAAAGTAGTGTTTTTCCGTTTAAAAGCTTCAAAACCGTAAACTCATAAGGCTTCGGCCACACCCACTATTGAACCAAATAATCAAGAGAAGTCATTCAGGTCAAGTGAAATCAGTAAAAGAAGAGTTTTGGACGAGTGAAATCTCTAGAGCAAGAATCAGACCGTAACCCGACCGTAACCCGCGGGTTACAACCCGCGGTACGAGAGAATAAGGCCGTCTATACGGTTGAAGATTTGCCTCGGCCCATGAAGATTTCTCTCGGGGATTTGGCCTTGGATCCTCTCCAAGAGTCTTCTAGAAGCCTCCGGATCCTTCCCTTATAGCCGTTACACGTTCAAAGAAGGAAGGTGACGCGGCTTGCTTTATGACGCGTTTTACTTTTGCTTTATGGTACAAGTGTAGATAAGAGTAGCATATCCTCTTGGATATTCGTTTTGTTCAACCCTTTAAAGGGAACCTTTGTATTTGCCATTTTAAGGATAAAGAGATAATCTCTCTCTTTCTCTTCACCAAATCTCTTTCCCTCAATCTCATTTCCGCTCATCCTTAGTCCCATTCTCGCAACCTAATCTCCACATTCTTTCATGGTATCAGAGCCATAAAGCTCCACATACTCTATTCTCCGAAACTCTCCTTGCAAATCTTCTTCTCCTTCTCCAATCTCCATTCTCTTTTCGATTAAGTCTACACTCACCATGGAGAACACCAAGATTCGTGCTCCGGTCACCCTCAAAGGAGGAAACTACTTGCTTTGGGCAAGAACCATGAAGACCATCTTGTGCGGTCGTGGATTCTGGCCTCACATCCTCAAGAGTGAAGCGCCAAGAGAGACAACCACGAACGAAGATGGCTTGGAGATCGCCCTTGTTGATGAAGACAAGTGGTTCCAAGAAGACCAAATGGTCTTATCCGTTCTCCAAAACTCGCTTGAAGCATCAATCCTTGAAGGATACTCCTATTGTGAGACTCCCAAGGATCTTTGGGAAACTTTACAAAATGTCTATGGAAACCAATCCAATCTAAGTCGTGTGTTTGAGATCAAGAAGGCCATCAACGAGCTGACCCAAGGAGACATGGAGTTTACTCAACACTTTGGGAAGTTCCGGTCCCTTTGGGCAGAGCTTGAGATGTTGAGACCCAGCACCCTTGATCCTGCGGTCATAAATGAGAGGCGTGAGCAAGACAAGGTCTTTGGTCTACTCTTTACCTTGAGTCCGGCGTACAACGATCTCATCAAGCATCTCCTCCGTGCCGACAAGCTCCAGAACCTTGAAGAAGTGTGCTCTCAAATCCGAAAGGAGCAAGGATCTCTCGGGCTGTTTGGTAGCAAAGGAGAGCTGGTCTCGGGCAACTCAAGTGAGCTAGCATCCGCCAACCGTGGGAATTTCAATGCCAACCGCGGGAAAGCTCCATGGTGTGATCATTGCAAACGGAGTGGACATGCCAAAGAGAAGTGCTGGATCCTTCACCCTCACCTCAAACCAGCAAGAAGGGAGCCGAGAGCTAACCAAGCTACCGGAGGGAACCTTGGAGGCCAAGAGCAAGCCGGAGCATCAAGTCAAGCCTTGGGAGGAAATGGAGCTGCAATGATGGCTTCTTCCGACCTAGTGAGACGCTCCGACCTCGATGCACTCATCAAGGCTCTCAAAGAGTCTTCCGGTAACGCTTATCATGCTCTTAGTGCTTTAAAACCTCTTATTGTTGATTCGGGAGCCTCTCACCATATGATTAGTGACTCTAAATTGATGAACAACATTGAACCGGCTTTAGGAAATGTCATAATTGCTAATGGTGATAAGATTCCGGTTAAAGGAGTAGGAGACTTAGAATTGTTTAGCAAAAAGTCTAAAGCTTTCTATATGCCTACTTTCACTTCGAACTTGTTATCCGTTAAGAAAGCTACTACCGACCTTAATTGCTATGCTATCTTTGGTCCTAATGATGTTCATTTTCAGGATATTGAGACTAGTAGAGTGCTTGGTCATGGAGGTACAAAGGATGGTCTTTATGTTCTTGAAGATACAAAGCTTTCCACTCCTCTATCTTCTCACTTTAGCTCAATTCTTGTTAATGCGAATAATGCTATTTAGCATGCTAGATTAGGACATCCTCATTCTCGTGCTTTAGGTCTTTTGTTACCAAGTATTTCCTTTAAGAATAATGAATGTGAGGCTTGTATTCTTGGTAAACATTGCAAATCCGTATTTCCCAAGTCTAATACTATTTATGAGAATTGTTTTGATTTGGTTCATTCGGATGTTTGGACTTCACCTAGTTTATCTAGAGAAAATCAGAAATACTATGTCACATTCATTGATGAGAAGTCTAAATATACTTGGTTAACTTTGTTACCTTCTAAAGATAGAGTTCTTGAGGCTTTTATCAACTTTCAAAACTATGTCACTAACCATTACAATGAAAATATTTAGAATCAAGTAGGGAGAATAGAGATGAACAT